CGATGGAGCCCGCTTTCCACGGACATTAGCATCCAAGCGATTTAGACAGGCGGGCTTGAAGTGAATCCGGCATTGCTGCCTGGAGAGTGCTTAAAATATATATTTATATTTTTCTTTTTTCGCAGCCCTGCTCCTCACTGGCTGCTAACATTTCGATTATACTTTTTAATGAAATTTCCAGACACTCTGAATGCTGCATTCAATTATTAAACAGGCAAAACATTCAGCTGCTCGTTCAATGACCCACCTGTAAAGTATATAAGGAGAGCCACCACCACTTCAAGCGTTCAACTTCGATTGCTCGGCCTACTATATATATTTTTTTGTCCGGAAATGGGTTAAGTACACGCCGGCTGTGGAGCCACTCGATTCTGGTTGTTATTTTGCATCCCCAGGCTTACGTTTTTTGGGGGCTATTGCTGCATCCGTCAGTAGGCTCTGGGGTCTCTGACGTCCTGTCCGGTTCGTCTCCTCCTTCATTTTACATGAAGTGGCTGGCAGGTCCTGGGAAATAGAGGGAGACATTCAGAATTCAGAGTGGATCTGGCCAGGCCCAAGCTGGGAAAAACAAAACTGCACAGTTTCCAGTTGTCAGGCTAAGCGTTCAGTCCTATTATTCTCGGCTTTAAAATTTCTATTTCGATTTGCACACACGTCCAAAATATCAAGCATTATATGGTACTTTGCAGATATTATATTTTGCAGCTTAATGGAGTTGATAGAGGAGCCAGTCATAAATTCATATGCTGACTTTCGGCTTCCGGCATGGCCCGCCCTGCTCAAATTCCTTTACTTGACTGGGCTTAATTCAAATTCAGTTAAGCTTTCAAGTCTGTTTACCAATAGGATTCCACAGCCTGGTATACTTGGCTAAAATTTACATAGGTGGCCAGACTATGGGGCTATTTCGAAGAGCCAAAGTTCCAAAGGAGTAGGGATAGGATAAATTTCCTTACTCTCCGTCGGACGCAATTTCCGTTTGAGCGGCATGGAAATCAACGTAACAGTTTAATTATTCATTTAACATTTGATTAGAAATTACGGATATGCTTGGATAAGAGTGGAATCTAACGACGTTGATGAGCAGCCAGTTCAGTCAACGGTTAATATTAAGCACTCAGGCTTTAAATCCTCCCATACACTTCAGTTCATATCTTTTTTCTTATCGTTGCTCTGAGTTATTTGGCTATTCTTGGACTCCGACTACAGTGGGTAATAATGCAAGCTAAGTAAACAAAATTCGATTTAAAATATAAAGTCTTCCTTTGAACTGGGCATTGGCCGTGAGCTTAAGCAAATGATCTTCAACTTTTCAAAAATATAAATTATTTTTATTTTTCATTACACTATTTTATTTTTAGGAAGTTCTTGAGGTTGTTAATCATTGCCAACCACTTTGTGACCTTATTCTCGGCAAACATAAACTAAAATTGGATTTTCGACCGATCCACCGATAAGTTAAGATGTTAAGATAGCAAACAAACTTTAACTTGTTTTCAGTAACGTACCGAATGTTCTTTTTCAAAGTTTATCTTTTTCAATCTCAGTCACATATCGGCGGCGCTCAATTAACTCGATCGCAATTTGCAGCTCGTGGCTTGATTACATTCTTTGGCAGCAGAATGAAAGTTCCCCACGCGCTCTCAATTTGCGTTGTTTGACGAGCGACGGCTGAGTTTTTGGGCGGCCTAAGGCCACAATTTTTGGATGCTAAATCACGGGACGGCAATTGGCGACGCGTGTCTCGGGCCTGTTGACATGGCATCATCGTCGTCCTGATGGTGCTGCCCCCCACTCCGAGTCATCATCGGCGGACACCCGCATGCTGTAGCCGCTTTTCGAATTTCATAAGCCGCAGGTCAAGTCATTATGCATGCCCTTTGATGGCGGGGCGTTGGAAAATGAAGCTAATTTCGTTGGCCAGTCGACCAGTTGGCCGGTTGGCCAGTTGGCCAGTTAGCCAGTCGTCCACGGGTGGCATTGGAGTGGAACTGTGGGCGTTAGTTTGGGCTTAGTGTCTGGCCAACTACTTGAATTAATTTATCTTATCGCCGAGTGCAGTGGGAGTGGGAAAATAGGGTCAGGACGGGCCGGCATCATGCATTGTTGACGCTGAAGTTCCACTTATCAGCATCAACAGCAATAAAAGCAGCAACAATGACTGGCAGCCATCACGAGCTTCATTTGAGGGCATACAGTTTTATGCCATGCGCTTTTCACGCGACCCGTTTTTCTACGCCATTAGCCGCTCAAGTGGAGGGCTGGAAAAAAGTGTTGCATACTTAGGCGCGCCGTTCGTCCTTCGGCTGAAATTCAATTTGCCCTCTTTAAGAATGCTTCACATGGGCCCGGGACATGTGTGGGATAGCTTGCCACACATCGTGGCAAGTCAATTATTTTCTTGTTTAGCAAATTGCTACACATTCAGGTTTAGTGTAGACATTGTGGGCCCTTGCTTTGTTAAACTTTGTTTCAGCCTGGGTGTGTATGCGTGTTTGTATCTGCAACATCCTTCTCATCACTGTCTTCAACTACATCAGTGAGGTCTTGTTAAAGTTCTTTCCTCCTTGCCCCATTTTTTGGTTAACAGACACGTTTGTTAAGCATACAAAAAACTAGGAAACGCGTGGCAAATTGTGAAACAAAACCGTAGCTTTATTTGCGGTCACTCAGAGCGTTTGCAGCATTTTATACTCAGTCATATGCGCATCTCTGAACTTCCAATTAAAAGTGATATCAACACATTTACTTGCTGCACATGAAAGTCTGGCATTAGAGAGGGATATCAAAAGTCTAAAACGGCTAAACGGCTTATGAAGTTTTCTGGGACTAAGCTGGACTTTAATTTTTGGTAATATTTAAAAGGCATAGACTATACTAAGCCCCCAGCATTTCATATACACGGAAAAAAACATGAAGCATTCAGTGTTCTCACCACACGTAATGCCAGAAGAAATTTTGAAATGTGATATATTGACATATATTTCTAGAGGTACCAATAAAATGCAATTGCTTAGTAACTTTATTAAATATAAGAAATTTGTGTACAGTGAAATCGCGCAATTAATATCCGCTTAATTTCACTAAACATAAGGAAATATATTTAAATTTATAAAATTGTTAATTATTGGCATGGCTGGAAAATCTCGTCCATCTAAGAGTATGCTGCCTAATGACCTATTTCTCTCCGATTTTCGCTCTGTACTGTGCAACCCAAAACGTGCCTGGATTGCACTTAAGTAGATTTGGCCGAAAGCCGTACGGTAATGCTTGATAGATGAGGCCTTGCCAAGTGATCTGCCGGCTTACTCTCGTTCCCATGCTATCCAGTGCCATCCAGCAGTCCAGATGACAAAATGCAACTCTAACTGGGCACCGACAGCCGGAACGCATTGATGGGCTGGATGGCAGGAGGCAGATTGAGCCTTAAAAAGCGCTCAAGAATATCCCATTTTGGGTCGTGCATGGGCCAGGAGAGGGCAGCGAAATTGACCAATTAGGGGAACTGGGCGGGGTCGAAATAGTTTTAGGTTGTTAAGCCTTGCATAATTTTTATGCAAGCATGCGTTGTTATTTGCCTTGTTAACAGCTGCGTCAGCAGGAGTCGGGTTCAGAGTCCTGGCCCATGCATTCATGGCAACCTCAACGACAAAGTCAACGTCATTGTTCAAGTGCACCATGAAAAGGACACACACGGTGCAACCAGAAGGACGTAGGATGTGGGCGTAGAAAGGAGTAGAAAGGACGGGACGGGCCGGGCAGCAGAGTCATAATGCAAATATGCCATAAACTCAAAATGTCAGAGCAAAGTGCAACAAGAACAACGGAGAACGAGCATGGAGCACAAGGATACACATGGGACGAAGAACGCAGCTCCCAGGAAGAGGGATGGGGAATAAGGGATGAGGACAGCAATGGCAACATCTCAACATGATGTGCCTTTGTTGCTATTGCCGATGCTACTGCAGCTGCTGCTCAAAGGACCAGGCTTCCAGGACGGCCAGGAAGCCGGCTCCTGCGATTGATGGATGGCTGCAAGGACGAGAACGAGACGGAAGAAACTACCAAGGAGATGCCACAATCAACGTCATTATCCGTTGGCATTGAGCGTGCTTAAATTGTCACCTCAAGGATGGCAGGCTGACCAGGATAGGACGAAGGAATTTCAATTAAGCTCAGCAGCTGATAGAAATATTTGCACATTTATTTTAAGTGTTTAAGTAAATAACACCAAATCTGTTTAATGAAACACAAAGGCAGCTCCGTCTAAATTAATCTTCTCGGCAAGGACAACCTGCTCGAAGGACAACGGTCAGTCTCACAGTTTTCCGTGTGCGTGTCAGCCTTAATTGGCTTAATACATTAAAAATATGTATGCAAATTGAGCTAAGGCAAAAAGGATCAACATGAAATTTAATAAATCAAAGTAAATTGTGCATGAAAATGACGACATACTAAAGTTAAATGTTCGGTTCTGTTTGAAATTCCTGTGGAAGCTACACAATCATCACCACTAAACGAAACGTTTCCTGAAATGAAAATGAAACATTTTATGATCCTTAATGAACCCAAAGCGAGTCGAGGGATTACTCCACCGAGGAAAATGTGTTGGATAAGCGCACCACATACACATAAGCTTTAATTATGAAAAATTATCTATTGATGTGACTGACCCCAGGGCCCAACTTCTGGCCAAATCACGTGGCGAAAGTTCATTTCCACAGCCATTAAAATGAGCTATGTGCCCCCTGACAGGTGGACACACGGGCATATGGCGCGTTCTTTCAGAATATTGTGGCTTTCACGTAAATGCAGGTTATTAAGTGACTTCACAGAGTTCACAGAGTTCGGCAAATATAATGCTACAGCATACTACAGCGATTTGGGGCTGCCTATTAATTCAAATGTAATTTATTGGGGATATTTTCTTATTATATTATAACATATTTATGAGCTAAACAAATGACTTCTAATGACTTCCTAATTCCTAAGAAATTGACCTAACCTTTTCCCATCTGCATTCTGTATTATGCAATAAAAGCTGGCCAAGATACGAGTGCTGATAAGAAGCTCAAGTAAAACTTGTTGGAGACATCAAATAGAGCCAAAATGCTGACTCGAAAGTGGCAAAGCCTTAGATGGTTGAACAAAGTATCCAGCTGTAATGAAAGAAATATTAAATCAGTATAAAATCGACGAAAAATTGACTTACCGTAGTTTGAAATTTGCTTAGATCACCGACATTTCCAAACTCCAATCCAATGTTCAAATATTGGTTAACAGCACCCTGAAATGAGACAGTTACGAGAAAAAGATCTAACACGTGTTTGACCAAAAGTATGCAGAAAACGAAGCTGTTTATATATAAATTTTACAGCCACATTCAGGCCGATCATGGCGATTAGTACAACCTCATAATATATTATATAATATTTATAATTATAATTATAATAATTATATAGTATAATATATTATATATCAGTGCCAGCAAAAGGGGAAGATCAAATAGGTTGTGAAACAATAGGCTGGTATTATAAATCTCTCCGTACAAGCTTATGCATTTGTTCAGACCATTTTGTACTCTTCGTATTTTTCGTTAGCTATTTGACTTTTGTAGTTGAATTCGCAAGTTTGTATAAACATATTTGTTGGCCTCGGAATAAAGAACACCCAGGCTGAGATGGCCGATAAAATAGATGTGGCTGAATAAATTGGTGGCACTGACTATGTAAAAGTCGCACCACCAATCGATTAAGAACCTCCAAGAAAATACTTTTCGTATGGTAAACCACTGATATGTTTGCTCGTGGGCGAAGGAAATCAAATTCAGTAGCATTAATTCTCGTCTGCCGCCAAATCCAGGTGTTTTCGGTTTAAATAAATCACTCACTTGTCGAAGGAGACGCAAAAACTGGTTGACAAGATCGATTATTTCTGGGCCTCGAAAAATGTGGTAGGCCAAGATTACTACAACGTTGGGAATGCTCAGTACAAGTCGCATACCACAAAGAATTTTTTGAACGCGATTTATCTTCATTGATGTGGCCGCCGAATAGACCCAAAAGAATCTGCAGAAGGTTAATATCCGATGCGTAACATTCAGCCACTTGAGCCAGTTGCGATTGAATACAGTTTCCTCGTCCTTTTTATTGTGTAGACAGAAAAAGATCGCTCCAATAAATTGCGCGTACCGAAAAATGTATCTCAGAATTCCGCTGGAAAGCTTGGGTGCACTCATCAGATGAAGGACCTCGAACATGAACACTTTGGCTTACAACTTTGACTGGAATTGGTAAAAAAAAAAGCCATAGAACAAACGGTGCATTACTTAATGAAAACTTAACTCAGTACCGGATTGTATCTTAAGCTGGCAGGTGACAACAGGTGACAGCGTACTATCATCAGAATACTCAAAAGTATATTTATTAATTATCAGAATTACCCAAAATTAATAGATGGCTGTATTGGATAAAATGTGACTGGTTACAAAACAAAAAGAAAGATTCAAAAGGGTATAACAAGATAGCATAAAAAGTTGTTTACGGTCATTTTCAACTTGATTTAATTTTCCTAAATACTTGTCTAATCGGTTCGTTTAATATTTGGAGTGCATGCGAAAATTATGGTTGTAAGAACGAGCTATTGCAATTCATTCTATTCCTAATTTATCCTATTTCTGCTGAGATATTAATACGGTTATTACGGTAATGCAATAGGTATTGAACGCCCTAATATTTCAATTACTGCCATCAATTTCAACAATTAGTCAAATCAAGCAGATTTGCAATTTACAGCTATGCTTGTTTCTGTGAATTATTTATTCAATGAATGCAGCTTTAATGATAAATGTGATCAACGAAAACCGCTTAAATGCATTACGGGAGTATGTGTGTATGTGTGTATGTGTGTATATGGCGTCCATTTGGCCCACTTCGCATTAAGTGTAAAGTTATTTATGAACGTTAATGCATATTCAGCTAATGACACACACATTCGATTTTCAGGCTCTTTAGTGTACGCAAACATTGATATGGTAATGCCATTATACCATTTCGGCTGCAAATGGAATGAAATAAAAGGAAATAATTTCGCTGCCTAAGCGCTCATTGATTTAAGCAAATATTAGCTCAATACATGCATCATACAAACGCATTTCGTGTTTGCGGCATAATTGCCAATTGTTAATGACAGACAGTAAAATTCCAGCATCTGTCACATACGGAAGTTCTCTGAAGTCGCCCAGGGGACCAAAGTGACCCACCAACCCACCAACCTGCCACACCCATTTACGAACCCTCCATCAACTATTTGCCACATTAGGACATGCCACTAATTTTATAATGCAGCCGCAAGACATAAAATCTACAAAGCCAAAGTGCTTGAGAATACAAGTCAGTATCTGAAGAGAGACAAAGCCACATACACATCTCTACAGCGCGCTCCATAAATGTAGAGCCTCGTCTTTCTTTTGTTCTTGAAATAAAATTAGAAACAATAAAATAAAGATTGTTCTTTACTATTATAATTGGTCGTTTTTAAATATGTATCTAAAATAGAAATGAGAACTATTACTAAAATTTGAATGCAAGAACGTTCTGTGTTTTTAAGCTTGCCGAACTTAAGGGAACTTTTTCCCATTTTATACAAGTATAAATACAAGTTACGACTCCCACTTTCCAACGATGACTTGCCCCATCGGTATGTCTCGGTCAGCACTTAGCTGCGTTTTTGTGGTAACGCTATCCTCGCCTTTGTTGGAAAATATATACAGATGTACTTATGTACACCAGCATGTATATCTGGGCTTTCCAGTGCGGGTCCTGTCAAATTGCTGCGTTGACAAGTGACATGTGCCCACTATCCCATCTATTTGCAGGAGAAACGTTAGCTTTATTAGAGCCTCTAATTACTGGGGGCCAGTTACCAGTTAGCCAGTTTTGCAGTTGTCACGGCCAGCAAATTTAATACGGCCTTCTCTCGCTCGAATTTCAAAACCTTTCGGGTTTACGGCGTTCGCTTGTAATTTTATTACATTCCTTTCTCCAGTGCAGCGCGCTTCCATTTCAGCCTGTCTCTTCATAAATAATTAATGCCTTTGAGGTATGTAAACTTACGCGTGTGTGTGTGTGTCTACTTTATGTGCTGTAAATAAATTTGAGTGCGTAAGTGTAATTGTGTTTGCTTTGGCTAACAAGAACAGCCTTCACGCATAGGTTTAATGGCTATAAAACCAAGACTTTCGGGTTAATGAGTGTATCTACTTGACGGTTGTAAGTGGTCAAAATACCTTTCGGGCTCATCAGGCAGGGAACCAAATTTGATATGGGTTATGGGTCGGTCATGAAAAGAGGTTTACTTATAATTTTATTGGATCATAAAAGCGTAAGCTTTCAGTGAATTAATTTTGAAGTAATAGTTTTTGGTTATTTATTCTGTCACCCTTGCACGAAAAACATTTTAATAAGATTGCTTAAACTCAATAACTAATCAATCTCTTCAGTTCTAATATGCGCTATTTATTCTAATCACCTGAATTCATTAGAGCATTAATAATGGCCGGTCGCTTGAGGGCCTTAAGTGCATTGTCCCTGAACAAAAGTTAGATAGTATATTTTTCAACAATTAATAGGTGGACCACAAGCAGATATACCAAGCGGCACTTCCCCAGTTCCGCCTCATTGATCAGCAGTATCGATGTAATTAAATTCTGAGAGGCTGAGCCCACAACTGGAATGTATAAATGCAGGTAAGCCGACAGATGATATTTATGACAATGGAGGAATGAAATTTTACGTATACGAAAAGCGGCCGCCGGAGAAGAGGCAACATTGCAGCAGGCGTAAATTGGTGTCTAATAAACACATAATCAAGGTTCATTTGCTGCAGGAGGCACTAAATTGCATTAGCACAAAGGCTGACATGCCACCAGCCCACTTGCCACCTTTCGCCCGCACAGTTTGCCAACTTGTCGACAAATATGTGTGCAAGATATTTGGCCTACGGGCGTGTCGTGTAGCTGCTCGATTTTGGGCCCAGCCCGAAAATCCGTGACAGTTTAGTTTATGGCCCACAGCATGTCGGGCCTATATCTCGGTTACATTCGAATGCGTTGCTCCAAATGCGCAGGCAACGTCAAGGCACTGGCATTGTAATGAGCTTATATGCCTTTGAAGCAGCGAGCCTTGTCAGGACACACAATTCCCCCGTGGCATGCAAGCCCATAAGTTGCAGAAGCTCCTGATCAAATTTCACCAGTTAAATGAGCAAATACAGCTCTCACCGTCCACATTATGACTGAATGCGTCTCGAAAATCAATAATGCTGGTCCAATGTTGATTAATCGGCATCAAAGCTCAAGTTTCTCATTAATGATTGGTGTTAACTGAAAGGGAAAGTTTTGCATAGAGGCTCGAAGGAAAATAAAATGTAATGCTCGCTGCAGAGGAATTTCATTATATGCTGGGCTGAAACAAGCTGGCGCTGCTCAATCTCAACATTCCAGCTTAAATACTTCCCGACATCTCGACGAGCTTTTGGCCACATCGAATCTGATCAAGAATATAAACGCTTAATTCTGTTACATACTTAAAAAAACGAAGCTAGCACAGCCCTTTACACTGCGAGGAACTTAAAATGTAATATTGCAATAAGTTTTGTTTTATTAATGTACTTATGCAAGGAAAACAATCATATATGTTGGCAGTGAAGGCAGTGAAATAGTTGTGCATTGAAACTATTTTTAATGGGAACAACTTTTTAATTCTAATCATTTGTAGCAACAAAATGTAGTCATTACGCAACTATTTCGTTGTAAAGTTAAATAAATTTCCAATTGCACCAAGCTGAGAATGTTTGTTATTTCGGCTGCTGTGATGCAGTTAGCCTGTGGGCGGTGACAAACATAAAGTTGGAATCATAGAGCAGAATCCGCCTGAGCCGCTGACCCGAAAGGCACCCACTTACCGCCCCAAAATCCACATACGACCACCGAGTCACGAGTCCAATCTCCCAAAAACACCAGGCAGCAGTCCAATGCACCTACCACTAATTGCTTTGGGCGTTGGAATGCCGGCCAGTTTGGCAGTCGGACAATGGCATTTGGGTTAGAGTGCTCCGCGCTGCAATCACGACCCCATTGTGACCTTAAGCAATTTCTGCGCCAGCACACCAATGTGTGCCTACGCTGCCACGCCCCCTAATTACGGCAATGACCGTACGCCCCCGTGGGGGCGAGAAATTGTTAATTAATTATCAGTTGCAGCTACTCTCTACTCTACTCCGCTCTTTGTTGTGGCCCGGCTAATGCCTTATGTTTATTGAGATTCGTATCCAGCGGCTATTTAATACTTAGTCCGAGTAGTCGAAGTATACCAACCGCCTGGGCTTGCGGATAGCACCGCCGATCGGGAAATCGTCCTCGGAAATGGATTCATTTTCCTCCTTGGACTTCAACTTGCTGCAAGAAGGTCCGTCGTCCATGCCATCGTCGTCAGCTTCCTCTAGGTCCATTGATTCCACCATATCTTCCTCCTCAAAGCTTGCCTCCCCTTCCGCCGCATCATAATCGTCCTCTTGGGATGTCCCTGGAGTTTTGGCCACGTTGCAGTCGGAGCCTTTTGTGGGCTTGCCACGTTTCAAATGCCGATTGTTGATCATGGCGCGGCGGCTCTCACGCTGCTCCTGGCGCAGCTTGGCCAATTCCTGCTTTTTGAGCTGCTCTTGATCCTGCTCGGGATTAGAGTCCATGTCCATTATCACCTTAACGCAGCCCGTTTGCGGCTTGTTGGTGGCTCGATTACGCAAGCCCTGGACATGACTCTGCCCGAAACTGGAGTCCAGCATGGGACGCAGAGTCATCTTATCCTTGATAGATCCCTTGTGCTGGTAGCAGCTGGCCAGGCGAACATAAAAATGGTTCTGGCTGTCGTTCACCGGGTGATGCATCACATCGAAGACCTCGTCGCCCACATGGAAGGTTTCGCTGCCATCGGACCAGCGAACAATCTTCGAGTTCGACTCCTTGATCTTGTTTTCGTCCTCTCGCCACCTTACGGTTGCCTTTAGGCGATTTATGAAATCCACGCGCGCCTGGTCGTCCTTTAAATCATCTTTAGTCATGCGATTCTCGAGGTTTTGAGGCTCGTATGCTTTGGACTCCACGGGTATGAAATAAGGCATCTTCAGAAAACGCGTTGGACCATTAAGAAGTCCACAATTATCAGCTGGTATGGTGGACTGAAACTTAACTGCTACCTCTTTTTCAAACATTTTACGTTGTTCGTCTTCTACAGAATGTGACGTATCAAGAACTTGTGAAGTTTGCATCCTTCTGTTGGAGTACAACTCCTTATCAGGCGAATCCTTATCAGCATTTCCTCTTCCAGCGAGCTGATGATTCTCTGGATTATTATCGACAACGCACATTATATCGAGACTCTCAGAAGAGGAATACACCAAGGCATTGGATTCCATTGGATCTGTGCTATATGGCAAGTCAGGCAAAATTGTGTCCTGGCTACGATTGCCTCCATTTGATTTACACTCTGAATTCCAGTTTGGGCATTCGTCAAAGTTGGCACTGAATGGCACTAATGGCACAGAAATGGACGCAGGCTTTAAGATCTCAGTCTCAGTTTTAGATTGTGACGGCAAAATTGATGAATATTGCAATGCGCTCAATTCTTTTTCCGTGTCTTTATTTTCTCCATAGTGTTGATTTTCTATTATCATTTTTCGACCCCCAATTTTCGGGGTCGAAGAATAATATTGCCTCGAGCGAAGTTCTAGTTCCATCTCCTTACTTTCTCCACTTCCAACTTCGTTCAAGCTATGACAATATATTTGTGTAGGCAACTCGCCCTTGGACGTAAGAACTGCGATACTTTCTTCGGATTGACAGCCAAAATTTGAACTAGAAACTGGTCCCCCTTCATTATTTTCTTGATTCTGATCTTCGTCCACAATCGTATTGCAATTGTCTTTGAGTTCAATTAGAGAAGTTGAGTTTCTGATGCTAAGGATTATATCAGAATCGATACTTCCCTGGTCATCAGTTTCTCCTGCACAGTTCGATGTTCCGTCAATCTGTGTCGACGAACGTAATAATTCATTGGAGATAATTAAAACAGGTTTTGGTTTGCTGCAAGTAAGAGATTTCTGTTTTGCAGAACTTTGCACCCAAGTTGCCTTGGCATTATTTTCCACATTTTGTTCATTTGGAGTCAAGGATGATTTTGACGATGGTGATGTTGAACTTGAGGATTTTGATTCAGAGCTTGGAGGGAATTTAAAAGAAGACGAAGAGCTCGAGCTCACGGTTGAGCTTTGTTCGTCCGATTGCGATGATGTCTGTGCGTTCAGATCATATGGGGATTTCCCTCTTCTAGGAATGCTTCTATTAGCATACTGACCAGTTTGATGATTATTCATTTTGTGTCGACGAGTACGTGAACGACTCATATGCTTAATGCGACTTTTATCTTCACCAACGCTGGACGACTCGTAGTGCATGTTGCTGAAAAAGCCATATTACTAAAAGATTACTAAATGCAGCAGAATATATTCATCTAAACCAACCTTCGGTAGTTTTCAGAACTTTTTTCGCCACTTCGATTCCCTAAATATATAATGTATTGTTTAATAATATTGCATGGAATTGCGTTTCTTCAAACCTAATTGCATTTGCTTGTACTCCGGGTGAACGTCGGGATCAACCATTGTTAGCTTATGCCGAAAAAGTTGATGAAGATCTCAGTTTTTTGCGTTTTTTATTCGTTTATATATTCGTTCGCAAGCAGCACAGGAAAAACCAAATTTTCTGCGTAATGACAGTCGAGCCAGGTGACTTGAGTTATCGATTATTTGACTGAGTTGTCAGCTTTTCTAGCAATCAGTGCTGTGTATTTCTCTTAGATTTTTTCACATACCATTAAATTTGGTATTAATTTTTGATAAATTTGGCGGCAATAAGCTTATTATCTATTTATTTTTACTTATATATACATATATGTATATTATTTATATATATAATCTGTCTGTTAGAACTTTTTGATAGAAAAAAGACGTAGACGCTCAAGTTTGTCTCTGTAACGCCTACAAACCGCCCAAGACTGTCACTCCCACACTTTTAAGAAATGTTTAGATCCCTAGGCCAACAAAATTCGAACATTCCTAGCTGCTAGTTGATTAATTTTTGTTCATGCTGATAAACGGATAATTTTCTCAGATTAAAGCCCTTAGATGGAATGCTCTAGAATGAAAAAGTCGAGCCATGACCATTATGCCCAATTATAAAAGCAAAAATAAAGTTCAGCCCTAATTTAATATTTCGCAGACAGAAAGGACCTCGCCGCTTTATGCCTTTTGCCCATGCTCATACTCATGTGGCACGACATGCCGGGCAATAAAACATGCATCGCCATTTCCCACTCGTCATCGACTCTTGACGATATGGCCCTGGAATTGCCGTATGGGCGTAAGTCCTGGTCTTTTTTGCATTTTAATATTTTTATGAGTTTTCGATTAATTAAAACTCAACGGCAAGCACCTGCCCGGCGAATCGGTGGCGCCACGGAAATGCATATTGCATATTATCCGGCGAAGAGGTCATCCACTCGAAAGCAGTACAGCCACTGGCGAATGCGGATCAAATGATTTATTCATAAATTCAGCATACGCTAAGGGCACAAAAAATGCTTGTAAGCCGCAAATAATTATTTACAACAAGTCCGCGGTAATGAGGTTGCCGTGGCAGCCATAAAAATATGAACCTGTCGTTAAGGATTTTCAACGTAAATTAATAAACGGAGAATTAAACGAATGTGCCGAGTAGTTGATGTCCTTATGCGGGTGCAATAATTGGCTGTCAACTGTTTATCGCTTAACTTGGCCAGAGGCACTGAAAGGTCGGTTGAATGGTAATCAAATTAATAAAAGTGACTTACTTCAATGTATTGATCTGAATGCAACTTGAACTTGTGCTGCAAAGTGCAATTTACAATATATGCCAAGAAAATTACGTCAAATATTCCATAAGTTTCTGTCAAAAATTGTCATTTTATTTTCGGCTTTCGTCTCCACTACAACAAGCCAAATCCACTCCAAAATTCAGTTTTAATACTATCAAAATTAAAATATTTTAAATTATTTCATAAATTAGAACATGGAATACAGCGGTGTTCGGCTACCCGGAATTTTTTGTCCAGATGTAAGAACACGCTATTAATTGTTTGCATATTAAGTAAATATATGTACTATGACGTACAGGAAAGCATTGAGCAATTTGCGAGACTTTACGGAAGTGATAATTTTAGCAAAATGATGATAATGGCCACGACCAGTCCTCCGAGGACTGTGCAGGCCACAACTCATTCGCCTCCAGGAATGATGGAGGGGAATCCGTCCGGGTTTTATGGGAATGCATCAACAGCACACGACCGAAACTTAAAAGTTCATCACCGACATACTACTAAGTAAGTGTTGCATGTATAAAACTTCGTATAAAAACAATCTTTCCAGTAATGTGCAGGCATCAGTAATCCCATCCTATCCGCAACCGGGAATGATGGGTCCGTCTAGGTTTCATGGAACTCCACCACTAATTCAGGATCGATATTTGAAAAGTAGTTCCCGGTATCATGCAAAGTATGTAAGAGAGATAAAGGATTTGATCTATTGCGAAACAATATGTTATCCCGTAGCGCTTCTCAAGGATCTGGGGCCCTGCATAGAGGCTGTGGTGACTACTACAGTCATTCGTCTACTTTGCAGAACTATAAACCTGAATATCCTGCGAGACCCGCTCAATCGGGAACCCAGAATCCGGGAGAAGTGCGCTGCAATACTCAGCACTATCAGCATCTGGATTTTTATTATCCACCTCCACCTGGACCCAGATTTCCCTGGCTTTAAATCACATTTTCCATGCAAATCCATTCAAAAATAATCAAATCGCTAGATTGTAAGTTTTGTTGTTAAGAAGTTTAACCATGGCGTGCATTTCTGTATCGAAATTATTATTTGGTATCACAACTCAGTGGTGACTGTGTAAATTATATATAAAACTTTAGCAAGTAAATCATAAACTGTTATTTAATATTTGGAATGACTTCTCATTGTGTGCCATCATAAAACTCATCACTGCCCAATTGAGATAAATATGCCAGCGGAACGAAAAAGGCACAAAACCAGTTTTAACAGTTTAAAATAATTTTAACAAAAGTTTTTTCACAGAAGTTTTTTCACAAGACAAGGGGCAAACACAATGTGAAAAAGGCAGAAAACGGATATCGTTCGTATTTTCCTTCTGTTTGTTTGGAGCTCTCAACTGCGCCATTCAAGTTTGTTAAACATTAAAATGGAGCTTCAATAGAAAAACGCTAACTAAACGCGAGCAGACAGCAAACAAAGCATGCCACGTTTCTAAGTGTGTGCGTGGCAGTGTGTGTTTCGGTAAAACCAACACAAACACACTTCAACCCACACACGCACACACACACACACACACACACAGGAAGCGCCTGCCAGGCATAGTGCAAAATAAACCAACAGCAAAAACAAATATTAAAATTTGTGCAATAAAATGCCGAGCAATAAAACTAAAATAAGTGCGAGAAAACCCAAAATATACAAAAAAATAAAAAATGGAAAGCAGTAGAAAAGTTCTATCCCGCACAGCGAGTGTGTTAGTGTTTTCTTACAGACCGCCAGCGGAAGTGGCAAGCGCCTCAAGTTGCGAGCACACACACATGGCCCACCACCACCCACCGGCAGCCAACCTTCAATGCCGCCCACTGCACCACTTACTGTCTGTCTGCCAGTGCTGAAAGGCGCCCAGGGGCGGGGGGGCTGGCGGGCGGTTAGTTTATCGCGCTTTCGAAATCTGAGGAACTGGCAGCATGCGATTCTGGGCGGCAGCAGGGCGCTGCACAAGTAATACAAAGTATATGAAAATAAAGAATCCAGATCGTTGAGGGCTCTAAGCAATCGCCCAGCGAAATGCTGTAAAAATAAGTTTAATATATCCGCATTAAGATTGCCGCAGATTAACACACCCTGGCTTGCTGCATGTGCAGTGCTGGCACATTTTTGGCTAGAAGCTAAATTTGTGGCGACCAGGCAAAACCGAACTGATCCAAGCAAGACTTACAGGAAATAAGTGCAGAACAGCGAAAACCTAGGATTAGGATGTTGCTCACAACAAGCGGTTTGTATAAACTTTAAAGTTCTTAAAATTTAAACACATTTAAAAGTGGTTTTGAAGTTACTTTATTCTAATTGTATTCTTAATGATCTGATCTTATATTTTCCAGCAAATTCCCAGTTTCTTAAGGAACCAGCTGAAAAATAGCCATAAGCCGCGCTCTTTGAAGATGCCGCTTGTCGATGGCGGAATTCGCTTTGCGGTGGCGTTCGCCTTAAAGTATGCAGCGTTTTGCTGCACTTTTTGGAAGGGCAAAGCAAGGCAAACATCACGATGAGGCAGCAAGAAGCCAAAGCGAGCATGTGATGTGTGGGAAAGAATAACAAGAGGGAAAATCGAAGCGGAAAAAGCGCTCGGGGAAAATGGCAAGCGAAGGCTACGGAGGGGCGGGGAGGGGAAAGCCAACACCTGCCATCGGAGGGCGGAAGTGGGCGGAACTTGTTGTGCGGGCTGTTTTCGGTTGCCGCTGCCGCTCGGAATTCAATAAAGTGCCGCAAATAATTACTGCATAAAAGAAATGTGCAATCCTGTTTGCCGGTGTTTTTGCAGCTTGTGCATCCGGCAGCATTTAGTCGTTGAGAAATGGAGAAAGCAGATAAAAGTTATGTGGGCACAACAGCGGTTAAAACAATAGCACTGTCAACAGTTCAGAGTAATGCGTTTTTGTAAATTTTCACGCGAGATACAGGATAAGCAAAGGAAGGAAAAATACTGGATAATTGTCTGTACAGGAATTGTCTTCCCTTTCATTAATTGATTAATTATGCCACAAATCCAAGCATGGTCAAAAATATAAGGCATTTCAAATTCCTAGATCTGAGAATATTTGCCAGTTATTTGTAAAAAATGTTTTATTTTTTTATATTTTTAGACAATTCTCATGGATATAGATTCTCTGCCTTGTTTTTTCTATTCAACATAAGGTTTATTTGACTATATTTTCAAAGTGATATGATACAAGTTGAGATTAACTGGGGCCTAATCCATTTTTGCTGAAATGCCCAGCTAGTATCTGTTATTCTCTGTGCAAAGGAATAAGCAAATGACGAACGGCTATGCAGCGGTATTAAAAATTAGATTATTCCATCAGGACTGAAATAGATTTTCTCGCTCGTTCCTGGTCCAACTCAGAAATCGATTTAATGTGCACCAAGGGCTTTCGCCCGTCCCCACTTCTCCGCCACCCAACTCCAATCTCATCCCCACTCACCTTGAAGGTTGGCGTGTATAACCAAGCGGAACTGTGGCCTTTTTCCACTTTGCTTGGTGGCTGCTCGCCCAGTTAGATGGCTATCAACGCCCCCGACAGACAGTCGGGATAGCATCTCGATGGCATTGGGACGAATGTCACAGCAAATGCAACGGAAAAGCGTCAACTTAATGGGCCACAACTGTTGTAATGCTCTGCTGCTGTTGCTGCAGTTGCTGTTGCTGCTGCGAGGTTCGTGTTGCCGGGGTGTCAGCATTAGTCAATGCTCGAGGGCGGGGTGGCACAAATGATTTTATGTATGGCTTGAGGCAATGCAGCAGCCGCGACAACAGGACGACAGCAACAGCAACAGCAACAACGATAGCAGCGCCACAAAGCAACAAACATGCAACAATAAAGTTTTATGAAACAACAGCAACTACTGGAAAAGTGTTTTTTGCTGGCTTGTTGTTCTCGCTGCTGCTGCTGCTGCTGCTGCTGCTGCAGTTGCGACTATCGTGCTGCTGCACCTGACGCTGCGCTGAACTCATCTCCGCAGTTGTTGCTTTCGGCCATTTCCGTCAGCCAGCGATACGGACTTAAATACTCAGAAGCACTACAAAAATTATTCAAACTTATTCAAAGTAATATATGAGCAAAAGGCATTGAATAGTAACAGCTTTGAAGCTATTTAAATAAATCTTAAAATGAATTATTCATTATCTTAATGTACAAACCTATTTTCCAGCGCTTACATTGCAATATTTCACTCTGTAATTGATGACGATGTTCAAATTGAATTTTTGCTCTGTTGTAATATAAAAAAGAGCTATGCGATTGTCTTGGAACCACTTAATTAGGTGCCTTTTTGGCAGTAATTTTCGATTAAATACCTTTACGTGCAATTAGTTATTTCAGTGTACCGACGGAAAGCTGCAGACGAGACGCGCATGCAAACTTCCCAGCTAATGACGCAACTGTGGCGTGTTTGTAAAGTGTTGAAATTGAAATTATACCTTTGGGGGCTTTTCGGAGTTGTTGCTATTGTTCTTGGGGCTGCTGGCGGTGTTGTTGTAGCTGTTGCACAAAATGCATTGAAGTGTAGTTGCGTCAGTGTTTGGTGTTGTTGCTGGGCGAGCAACAATAGCAACAATAATGTTAATGAAAGCAAACATTACCGAGAACAGAAAGGATCGCATCAGCTGAAAAGCAGCAACAAAACAGCAAAACGCCCTTAGCCAAATTGCCAAAGCAAAGACATTAGACCACACAGACTTGGCAAAGTTTTAGCCCGGGTAACAGCAGCTCCAACTAATGCATATATGAAGGCAATTCCAGTCTCGTTGTTGTTTAATTAAGTTATGAAAAGTTCAATATTGTTGCAATAAAATGCGTACAGCCACAGCACCATGGGAAACTTTGATAGTGTGCAGATTTAAAGATTGCTATAGATTAGAAAGGAACTAAAATTCAACCTGAGTTATAAGGATAATAAGCATGCGACTATCCAAAACATGATGAATGTATTATTGTATTATAATAATTGATAGAAGGATTGAAGTGCTCCTTCACATGTCAGCTTAAAGTATAAATTCTGAAATCTTCAATGTGGCGCCGCTTTTTGCTCGTGTGAGCATACTGCTACAAGCTAGGTTGACAGCTGCAAACTTTGTTATTCCAGCCATTTTATTTTCCGAATAAGTTCCGCCATTTAATTAAGTTCGAATAAAATCGGCATTCAATTTGCCTTAGGCCCGCGATTCGTATTCAGTGTCTGGGCAATGCCGTGGACATCATTTAGGTACACTAATACCGATTTACGAGCACCCATCTGTGTAGAACGCCCCGGCCATAAACACGCTCCACCTCTCCTCTCAGCTGGCATTTTCATTTGCCATTGCCAACCAATAAACTAAAATAAAATGCCAACGCAGGACACTTAAAAGTCTCTAACTTTTTATGGCCAGCGGACGAGCGCTGATGATGGCTGGCCACATCATTATCAACGTCAACGTTGTCTTCATCCCATCCTTTGTTCCTTGGCCGCCCGGTTTTGCCACCATCACACCAATCCAATCCTCTGCTATCCACTCCTCCCGCTCGCATCTCATCTGCTGATGAACCGAAGTCGGAAAGACAAAGGCGACAAAAAAACCTACTCAAAGTTAATCAAATTAAGTTTCGGCTGCTTTTGTAAATCTGGGCAAACAATGAGCCCCATTCCCATTGAAGGCGACAGTCCCTGGGAAGGACAACGAATAGACCAATGGACGCGTAAATTAATCATCTTTTTTTGGCCGCTTCCTCATTCTTCTTTAGTTTTTGCACAATCTGGAACTTTGGCTTTGGATGGCGGTATTGCGGTTTGGAGAGAGTTAAATGATACTTTTTTTGCTGCTGGAAAACGGGGCATTTATCAGAAGCGGTGCGCAGTTGCAGAATAGGTAAAAAGATAGTAAGTATTATAAAAAGTTTTGGTTAATCCTTTAAGCCGTGTTCTTAGGGTTCAGATCTCGGATCTCTCTTAAGTCTCCGAAAACCAAGGACATTTTAAGACCAGAAACAAATGTACTTCTCTTCCTTGGTATTTTCTTAGCCCCTAATAATCAGTTTTGCTAACTTCCATTTGCACCGCACTTTTTTAGCCGCATTCTTGGGTTATTTATGCCCTTGCGGT